CTCTCCTGCCCTGTCTGTCCCCTGCCCTGCCCAGCTCCTTCCCTTCCTGCTCATCTCCCCGAGCCCTCACCCCGGTGGGCCTGGGCTCAGTCAGGGACTTCGGCCCTCTCTGTCCCTAGGCCCCAGGGGACGCGGGGCAGCTGGAAGCCTTAAGTGCATCTATTCTCTGTAACTCCAGATTGACATGTCCAGCCCGGGCCTCTCCCAGAGCTCCAGACTCAGACCCAGCCGCCTTCCCCACCCTCCCTTATGGTCCAACCCGAACCTCAGACTCCCTGCATCCAACGTGGGGTTCCAGAATTCACCCCATAATCCTCTCTGTTCTGGTGGGTGGCACCACCAGCCACCTGTTTGCAGCTGGACAGGAGGTGCCTGCGGAGGCCTGTCCCCCACCCCTCCACCCCGTCCCGCCGGGCTCAGGGTCTGGACAGCAGGGACGGGAGCTGGCCCCTGCCTGTCCCTGGGGGCAGCTCCTGGATTCTGGGTTGGAGGGGGCTGGGTCCTGGGCCCCCGGTCCTTGCTGGGTCGCCCCTGGGCATGAAGCTGGGGGACTCCCAGAATGCTCGGCCCTTCCCTCGCCAGCCACCCGGCTTTCCGTGCACCGGGAACTTTGGGGCCACAGGCCTTCAGCCCCTGCTGACAGCGTGCACGGTGGGTGGTGCAGCTGGGAGGACTCCGGAGGGGCCCCCCCCACCCCACCCACCAGTCCCCCGCCAGCCCCTTCTTCCCTGGGCCGCCATTCCCGTCAGCCTGCGTCGGGGCCAGGGCTCAGTCGCTCACCTGGCCCTGTCGCTGAAGGAGATGGGCGCGGTCCCCGGCGGGGCACTCAGGACCTTCTGGGCTCCGGAGTACAAGACGTCAATGCCTGTGGCCGGGGTGGGGGTCGCTCAGGACCAGGGAGCCTGGGCAGCCCTGCCTGCCCCGCTGGGCCCCGCCCTGCGGCTGGTGGGCTAAGGCTCCACCAAGAACGGTGGTGCCTGGGGCTGCGGCTGGCAGGGCTGTGGGGCGCAGCTCACCTTGCTGGTCCATGTAGAGCGGGGCCCCGCCCAGGGACGCCACCGAGTCCACCAGGAGCAGGCACTGGTACCTGCAGGAGGTGCGGGAGGAGGGCAGCAGGTGAAGCAGGAGGCCCCAGAAGGCCCAGACCCTCGTCCAGGGTATCTGGAGGCCAGCGAGGAGGGGGGTGCCCGCCTCACCTGCCACCTCTCAGAGGCGTGGGGGCACCCACCCCTCTGGGCCAGCCTGGCTCTTAGCTGTGCTCCAGCAATGCCACCCTGGGGACAGGCTCGCCTGTGGGGGCAGCTCACCTGTGGCAGAGCTCCCCGTAGCCGTCGAGGGGCTGCAGCACTCCGGTGGACGACTCCCCGTGAGTCAAGAACAGCAGCACCGGCTTGTGCTGGGCCAGGCCCTGGGGGGCAGTGACGCTGCGGCAGAGCTGTCGGGGCAGGCAGCCCTCCCACAGGGACCTTGCTGGTGAGGGCACGGCCAGGACCCCCACAAACCCTGCGTCACACCCCCACCCCCGTCAGCGTGTGCTGGGGGAGGGCCGGGGGCGTCTCGGCCCTGGGAGAAGGGCACTTTCCAAGAAGAGGACTTTGGCCCAGAGGTGGAGGAAGAGACCCCAGCCTCCTGCCCGCCCTGTGAGGGCCGCTGCCTGGTCTGCTGGGTCCCCGTAATCTGGGTGGGCTGGGACTGACTTCGCCCAGCAGGGAGGGGCTGGCGCCCAGAGAGTCAGGGACAGGTCCTGCATCTCCGACCCCAGGCCCCCAGACCCAGCGTCCTGCCTCCAGCCCCTCCATGTGGGCCTGACTCAGTTTCCCTGCCAGATAGAAGCCTCCCCACGGTCTATCCACCTGGTCCCAGGTACTGGACTACTTTGCGGCTGGTCACCAGATGCTGGGACGGGCCAAGGCAGACAGGGGCCCAGCCTCCTGGCCCTGGCCCCACCCCGCTGGCCGGCCCCCTCCCTGGGCCAGCATGCGCCCGTACCTCCTCCACCTCCTGCAGCGTGTGGTGGCTTCCAGCGTCCTTGGTCATCCGGTGCACGCGGGCTCCTGGGGTGGGGGCAGAGGGGACAGTGAGCAGCTGCAAGAGCCAGTGCTGGGGGCCAGCGGCCGTGCTGAGAGGGGCCCTGCAAGGGCAGGACCCGAAGAGCAGAGGGGTCTGCGCACCGAGGACCGCTCTTCACACGGAGCCAGCGCCATCCTAGCCCCCCGGGCTGTCGGAACCGAGCTTTCCGGGGGCTCTAGATGAGGGTGGCCCCAGACTCGACTCAAATGTCCCCTCCTCAGGCCGCCTTCCCTGGGCCCCGCAACGCTGGGGCCGTCCTGGCTCCGAGGCAGCACTCAGCACAAGGCCCATAAACGAGCGTGTGTACGAGCCCCGGGGGAGGGGGGTACTGGACTTTGGGGGCCGCTCCTGGCCCAAGGCAGGCACCCAGAAAGCCCACATTTGGCGAGTGTCTGAACGAAGGAAAGGAGGGACGAGAGGGAGCTCAGCAGGCCCCGTGCTCTGTGGACCCGGGTCCTGCATCCTGTGCACGGCGAGGCCAGAGCCACGGGAGGGAGGAGCCCGAGGGCCGCAGGTGGGCGGGGCTTGCCCAGGCCACACGCCGGGACCCCGGAGCCTGTGCGCCCAACGTCCACTTGGGGTCCTGGCCTGGGCCCCCGCCCCAGCTCACCCGGAAACAGTGTGTGGACTGAGGGCATGAGGTGACGGTGGGGACCCCTGGGGCCGGGGGGTTGTCCATTAACCAGCGCGGCCGCGGAGGCGCTGACCCAGCAGATGTCCCAACGCCACAGTCAATCATTAAACCAGGGCAGACTCTTGCTCCCGACTCGCGTCTCTCTCAGGAAACTTTACTCTGGAGCCGGAAACTCTGCCGATACTCTGTGTTTTGTGGCCCACCCCCCGGCTCCAGAAGGAAGGCTGTTTCCCAGGTTGTGGGGCCGGCTGCAGCCTCTGAAACCCCATCCCGTGGCAGAGCAGAGGTGATGCCTGGGGGCCCCGGAGAGCGGCTGGGCCTTGGGCTTTGCCCTCAGACCAGGGCTTCCCTGCATGTGCCCTGGAGCCAGGTCTCCCACACTCCGGGACATTGGGGATTGGGGCACGGCTGGGGTCCAGCCCCATCAGGATCCAGGCCCGCGAGCACCCTGACCCCTGCCTGGAGGAGGCGGCAGGCTAGTGGGGTGGCTGCACGAAGGGACGCACAGGGAGTGAGCGTTCGCCCAGCGCCCGGCCCGGCCCAGTGCCTCGGTGGAGGGAGCCGGGGACCGGAGGCCTTGGGGAAGGCTGGAGCCAGGGCCACGCCCACCCGCCCTCTCCTCACCGATGCGCTCCCCGATGTCTGCAGCTCGCTGCCCCCACACGCCGTTGGCCCCGACCAGGAAGGAGTCCCCCGGCTCCAGGAGGTTGAACAGGGCGGCCTCCAGGGCGCAGTGCCCGGAGCCGCTGATGGCCAGTGTGAGCGGGTTTCTGGTCTGGAACACGTACTGGATGCCTTCCTTGATCTCGTCCATGATCTGGGCGGGGGACACACAGGTCAGACCCGGCTCCCTGCCCTCCCCTGGGTGAGGGGCCGGCTCCAGGACTGACCACTACCCGTCACCTGGCACAGGGACAGCCGCCTGCCAAGGCCTACCTGGAACATCTCCTTGTGCATGTGCCCGATCAGCGGAAGGCTCCCGGCGGCCAGGGCGCGGGGAGCCAGGTTAGAGGGGCCGGGCCCCAGCAGAAGCCGCTGGGGGACAGAAATGGGCTTGAGCAGGGCCTGTGGGGGTGCCACCAGCAGCTGGTGGGAGGCCATGGTCCGCACCCAGCCTGCCGCTCGGGGCACCAGGGCCGAACTGGCGTTGGTCAGAGCCTGGAGCATTTCCCAGCTGGCGGACGCCGGCGCAGAGGCGGGACTGGTCGATGGGCTCCTGCTAGGCCTGCACCTCTGGCTGTCACTTGACCCTTTTATCAGCGCTTTCCCCGCAGGTCAGGGGTGCTGAACCCTCAGCAGGGGCAGCCTCTGGAGTCCAGGCAGAGAAGAGCCCGAGGCAGAGCTGTGCTCCCCAGCCCCTCCCCGCCCACTCTCCGGATCCACGCTGAGCCCAGCCCAGCCCGCTTAGCTGGGGGGTCCGGACAGTTTTGCTGAAAGGGTCGGAGAGCAAGTGCTGCAGGCTTGGCGGGCTGTGCGGTGTGCTTGGCGCTACTCAACTCTGATGCGTTTGCAAGCGGCTACACGGGCCTGGCCGTGCGCCAGCAAAACCTTACTTATAAAAAGTAGGCGGAGGCCCAAATTTGGCCCATGGACTGTCGTTGCTGACCCCAGCTGAGCTGATGGGGGGCTCAGTTCAGCAGATACACAGGCGCTGCGTGTAGAGGACTCACACGTTCACGCGCTCACACTAACACACACTCACATGCTCACACTAACACACCCTCACACTCACATGACCACTCACACACACACACTCACACATGATCACGCACTCACACTAACACACACTCACACTCACATGATCCCTCACACTAACACACACACACTAACACACACTCACATGATCCCTCACACTAACACACACTCACATGATCACTCACACTAACACACACACACTAACACACACACTCACATGATCACTCACACTAACACACACTCACACTAACACACACTCACACTAACACACACTCACACTAACACACTAACACACCCTCACACTAACACACACATGATCAGTCACTCACACTAACACACACTCACACTAACACACACACTAACACACTCACACTCTCACACTACCACTCACACTCACATGATCACTCACACACACTCACACATGATCACGCACTCACACTAACACACACACTAACACACACACATGATCACTCTCACTAACACACACTCACACTCACATGATCACTCACTCACACTAACACACACTCACACTAACACACACACACTAACACACACACACTCACACTAACACACTAACACACCCTCACACTCACACACACTAACACGCACTCACACTAACACACACACTAACACACACATGATCACTCACACACACACATGATCACACACTCACACATGATCACACACTCACACTAACACACACTCACACTAACACACACTAACACACACTCACATGATCACTCACACTCACACACACACATGATCACGCACTCACACGGGGCACAGGGCTGGCCAGGAGTCCTGGGTGGTGGGGGTGCGGCCTGGGGAAGGGGGTGTGTGCCGTGTTCCAGAACCAGAAGGTGTTGTCCTCTCCTCCCGCGTCAACATCACCGGAAGGGGAGCTGTCGCAATCACACGCAGGGAGGGAGGGAGGGAGGGCGTTCCCTCAGGCCGAAAGCAGATTGGGAGCTTCTGCGTTATTGTCGACAGCAAACCGCAGGCCAGGTAGCCG